TATATTTAATTTTTCAGTTGCACTCAGGTAAACATAACAGACACTGATAAAAAGCATGTTTAAGGCTAAGAGTTTCTTCAGGTTTGTTAAGCTTCAGTTACTGAATGTATATGGTCTCGTGTTTCTCGCCGTCGCTTTCTTAACTACGCATCGTGTGTTTGTTAGTTTCTTTTTGGCTCAGTTGGTGTCTTCGTGTCTTGTAAGGCGTCTTCAGTAGAGTGTCTACCTCCTCAAAAATCTCTATTAATATATCTCTCTCTCACATCGCATGTATCCCTTTAACATATATCTACTCTTTTTACAGTGTATTTCTACCATACATACAGATAAGAGAGGAACGTACTCCTTTCCCCTGAGCTAGCATGCAGAGACCCCCCTCCCTCCCACCTGTGAGCTCACCCGTGAACTGCGGAAAGGAAAAAAAGAAAAACAGAAAGAGGATAAAATGTCTCAGTCACTTGCTTCTGACCGCATCAGCAGAGAAGCCCGTTTTAAAGCTTTCACTCAACATGCATTTTTGAAACTTGTTGCGTTAGAGGTTTTGGCTTCTCTCTATGATTTTGTTTTCGTATGTTTAAGAGTGGTTATCTTTATTACATCGCTCTAGCTGTATGATTTTCTTTGTTATGTTAGTTCTGGGTTGATTGCTTGTCTTCGCGTCCCCTCCCCCTGATCCTCAGACGCCTCCTCATCGTCTGCTCAGTTGCCCTCGGTCACTTCCTTGACCGATTGCGTGGAGTGCTTCTCCGTCTTCTTGGTGGCCACCACCTTCTCCTGCACCATCTCTTCTACCTCCTTCACTGTCTCGGTCACAGTGATGGACTTGGTGACGTGCTTGGAGCCGTCCTCACCAGTGGTGATTGTCTCCACGGTCTTGGTAATCACCACCTTCTGGCTGGCATCATCCTTTCCGGGGCCGTCGTCCACGCCGTTAGCTATCACGTCGTCTTCCTTGGCCTCGTCCTTCGTTTCCTCTTCCGGGCTCTTGTCTAAGTCGCCGTTCATGGCAACATCCTTCTTTTCTATCTTTTTGTCTTCTGTTGAGTCGCTCTTTTTCTCTGATTTCTCTTCAGCAGGCTTGGGAGCGTCAGGCTTCTCGGTCTTTGGGGATTCGGCTTTTGGGGATTCGGCTTTTGGGGATTCAGGTTTTGGGGATTCAGCTTTAGGAGATTCAGCTTTTGGGGATTCAGTTTTTGGGGATTCAGCTTTAGGAGATTCAGC